GGTTTCTCGTGTTTGAACGCTTGTGTGACACTGCACCGTTGGGCCAAAGTTGCTCAACGCAGACAGAAATGACTTGGCACCCGCCGGGGCAGAATGTGGGATGACTCCATGGAGGCCGTTCCTGATTTTCAGGGGCCTTATCCAGCTGGAGATGCGGCGAGCAGCCAAGTGGCGCCCAAGGTCCTATGTTGCTTGACCGAGAGGCTGCATCGGCCTTGGTAGCGAGTGTGGCGCGATCATGGCCGGATGTTTGCATCCCTTCGTCAGGGTGCTGCCTTGCTGACTGTTCTCTTCTCTTGCGCTTGGGGCTGGTCAGACATTTCTAAGTTCAGAATCCCGGGACCTGTTTGTCTCCTAGTGTCCTCCATTCTTGATTTTGGCCATTGAAAAGGCTGCCTCTGGGGACAATCTTGGCGTGACTGAGCCTTTCTGTTTGGCCTGGCGTGTTTGGCCTTGTGACAAACAACTTGCGCTTCCAAGGCGGGCGTGCATGATACGTGTGACGAGCCAGCCCCAAAACCAACGCGCGTTTGTATGAGCCTCATTGTTATTCGAAGTCCGGGCAGATGAGCGTTAGTAGAGGACAATCCCGTGAAATTGGATCGGGGTAGATAGCCCTTCTCAGTGCCAGGTTTTGGTTGTGACTCGTACGATGCCTTGATCAGGCTGTATTTGGGGTGAGCTACGTGGGGTACTGGCGACTTTGGATTCTCTACGCGCGATGTTGCTTGCAGCTCGGTCTTTGGACATGGCAAGTGGACTTTGGCAATTTGCAGGTGTCGTTTGCACTTGTTCACGTCTGCTTGATTGACTTAAACACCATCTGTTTGGTTTGGGAAGCTTTGAGTCCACCAACGCAACCAAATGCACACACCCCACCCCACCCCACCCCACCCCGCCCCGCCCCGCCCCGCCCCGCCCCGCCCCGCCCCGCCCCGCCCCGCCCCCGCCCCACCCCACCCACCCCACCCCGCCCCGCCCCGCCCCACCCCACCCCACCCCACTCCACCCCGCCCCACCCCACCCCACCCCACCCCACCCCACCCCACCCCGCCCCGCCCCGCCCCGCCCCACCCCACCCCACCCCACCCCACCCCGCCCCACCACCCCACCCCACCCCACCACACCCCGCCCCACCGCACGCACACTCGCACGCACGCGCAGCCAGGAAGCAAGCAAGTAAGCAAGCCAGCAAGCAGGAAGGCAGGCAGGCAGGCAGACAGGCAAGCAAGCAAGCAAGGAAGAAGGGAAGCAAGGAAGCAAGGAAGAAGAAGGGAAGCAAGGAAGAAAGGACGCAAGGAAGCAAGGAAGCAAGGAAGCAAGGAAGCAAGGAAGAAAGGAAGCAAGGAAGCAAGGAAGCAGGAAAGCAAGGAAGCAAGGAAGCAAGGAAACAAGGAAGCAAGGAAGCAAGGAAGCAAGGAAGCAAGAAAGCAAGGAAGCAAGGAAGCAAGAAAGCAAGGAAGCAAGGAAGCAAGGAAGCAAGAAAGCAAGCAAACAAGGAAGAAAGAAAGCAAGGAAGCAACGAAGAAAGCCACGCAGGCAGGCAAGCAAGCAAGGAAAACAAGGCAAAGCAAGGCAAAGCAAGTCAAGGCAAAGCAAGTCAAGGCAAAGCAAAGCAAGCCAGCCAGCCGGCCAGCCAGCAAGCAAAGCCAGGAAGTAAGCGAGCGAGCGAAAGAGCAAGCAGACGCCAGACAGACAGCCAGACACGACAGAGAGACAGACAGACAGACAGACAGACAGACAGACAGACAGACAGACAGACAGACAGACAGACAGACAGACAGACAGACAGACAGACAGACAGACAGACAGACAGACAGACAGACAGACAGACAGACAGACAGACAGACAGACAGACAGACAGACAGACAGACAGACAGACAGACAGAGACAGACAGACAGACAGACAGACAGACAGACAGACAGACAGACAGACAGACAGACAGACAGACAGACAGACAGACAGACAGACAGACAGACAGACAGACAGACAGACAGACAGACAGACAGACAGACAGACAGACAGACAGACAGACAGACAGACAGACAGAGAGCCAGACAGAGAGACAGACAGACAACAGACAGAAGCGAATAATCCCAACAGACAAGAAAAGAAAAACACGCTGAGACCGAGGAGCCCCTGAGCGCGGATCTGCTGGCCGTCGCCCAGCGCCAGCTGTTGGACGACGAGCAGCGCCTCACCGCGCTCAGCTCGAGCCGCCTGGTGGGCGCGAAGCTCTACGTGGCTCGGGCTCAAAGCGCAGACAGACCCGCTGACATCATAGTGTTGAAAAAGTATGCGCCCTGTAAAGAGATCTTTGAGTTCTTACGGCTTCCAGCGGAAATGGGCAAAGTCTCCAGCGTTGCCTGTGCCAGTTTCGACCCTCTCAGCCTTTTGGCCTGAGCTTAACTGCAAACGGATGGACAACCTGGTATACCTTGCCATCACCCAACCTTCCAGGTGGTTGGTGCCAACGCCGGTTCCTAAAAAAAGAAAGAGAAGAGAACATGTTCTGAGAGGGGGAGCTTGGCTTCAGCACGCAGATGGGTGCGTCCGCACCAACCACAAATCTGAACCTTTGGCTAGTTAGGTGTCTTTTGTAGTTCTGGTAGGAAATGGATGGCCGTGGCTGACCTGGTTTTATAATCTAGGGCCATTTTTTGTTTTTCAAAAGGACGCGGGTGGTTTTATTGCTGGTACCCCGTAATACCGTTAGGTAGTTTTGGGTTTGATTCTTCTCAGCCACGGTCGGCGTTTCGATGATTCGCTTCAAGGGCAAAGGCAGCAATGGGCATCTAACCAAAACTTGCTCCCCCAAGGTGTTAGTGCACATCTACTGGTTTGCTGTTGGAAGGCTGTTTTGACCTGGTCATACAGGCGCGAGTCTGAATCTTTGTGCATCTCATCTTGCGTCACCCAACAAGGATAAACTCAAGCAAGTAGATCGTGGTTTCAATGGTGCTTTCCGTTGGCTATGAATTTTACTGGGCAATGCCATCCCAAATAGTGGGCAGAAATCCCAAATCATGTCCACCCAAGGGTCAACAAACACTTCAGATCACAGCCCTCCCCAGTACAACCATTAAGGCTCCCCACTACTCTCTGCATGAGGTGGTTTGTTCAAAAATCACCTTTTGGGTCTAAGGGGGAAATTTGGGGGGAGTCTCGCGTTCCTCTACACATGGGGCATTCCTTGCTTCCTTTTGGGGAAGCACCTCAGAGGGTCGCATGTTGGAGCTTGCAAGCTCAACCAACCTTAAATCTGATCCTGAATCCCCGGTTCAACACTGTGGAATAATCAGGCAGGAAAGGATGACAAACCGTCCAATCCTCAACCCATCTGGGTTGTCCAAAGTCAATCTTTTGTATGCGAGTTCGGTAGTTTCAGCCTTGTGAACAGGCTAGTTCGTGGTGACTCGGTTGACAGGAGCCTCAGCAAGACGGTTTGCTAGGTTGGCGGACTTGCAGGGACCCACTCGTTTTTGAGCAATGGAGTTGCGTTGAAATCTTCAAGGTGGTTGCTACTGGTGCCTGGCGACATCTAATGGTTGACGGGGTTGTGGTTAATCAGCATTGCCAGTGCCTCAGCGTCTGTGCGCCGCTGTGCGGCAAGGAGAAGCCTTCACCAGAGACATTCTTTGGCGAGCATTATGATTCTCAGAGAGAAATTGGATGTCGGCACTTGCCTGTGTTTGTGGGGATATCCTGTTTTGGATGTTGTTGTTATGAGTTCGTTGCCGAGGAATACATGTCGCAAGTGCGCGGCAACTGGCTCAATGCTGGCAACACGCAGGCTGGGATCAACATGTCGGTGGAAGGAAGGTCCTTTGGAGAGTCCGCCAGGTCCTCATCAACCACAAGATGTTGGCAGACTACCTTAGATCACAAAACATGTACGAGAAGTACGACCTTTTCGTGTTCGGGCCCCATTTGCTCGTGGCAGTCGCGAACTGAACGTTTCTGGCAGATTCACCCGATCTGATCTTCTTCACCTGCTTCCTTTCCCGGGCGCCGCTGATCTTCGGCGGTGCCTGGGTCGCACAGATGTGCTGACCCAGGCCGGCCACGAGTTTGGAGGCGCCCGGGCCGATCGATCGGTGGGCTTCAACCAGAAGGTTGGCGCTTTTTAAGGGAAGCCGCAAGGAAAAAGCATGAATTGGTAGGGGATCACCATTTGGAGAAACCAGATAGTGCCAGGTGTGAACTACAACTTTGCCATCATGCAGAGTGCCGTTGCTGAGCAGTACCTCACAGCCCCCTACGACACAATCGCCCCTTGGCATGGCGTCTCGATTTCTCCGTTCGCCCTTGCGCCTGTGGCAAAGTGGGGTTCAACGATGCTTTGGCTTGGGATGAGGTGTCCCGATCCCTGCCCAACCGGCAGAAGGTGTACAACATCGAGCTGTTCTGGAGAGTGATCCTCGCCCAGAAAAGCATTCGCAACCTGCGGATGCCGGTTACCTGCTTCGTGACAGGGGAATCCGTGGAGGATAGGACGTCCTGGCGCAAGATCCGGCATTCCGAGGACCGGCTCACCGTTGACGCCCGCCTGGTCCCAAATGGGTGTGTTGTTTTTGGAGGTACCCTTCTCGGGGTGGGAAACCAAAGGAAAAACACAACATTGTGGGCCCCCTATTGAACGACACGCACACACACACACACACCCAAATTGGCTTGACTAGGAGCATGATGTCATTTACAAGTACCAAGCCCAGATGGAGGAAGCCTTCAGGAACTTAGAGATTTGGAAGCAACATCCAGTGCCTCGAACGCAACATGAGGTCCGTGGGCTGATCATTGCTGGCAGTCTCTGACAAAATGCGGGGAGATGGGGGGCTCGACAAACTTTATCCACAAATTCAGGAGACTCGGAGACTCATCATATTCCCAGGTGCTTTTGGATGGGACCTCCAGCAAATTTTGGGCCGCTCTCAGGAGTGGACAGTGCTGCGGCCGCCCCTGGGTCTTCAGGTCACTGAGGTCAGGAGAAGTGCGCGCGCGTGCCCGTGGCTAGACGCTTTCCTTTGGCTTGGGCTGCGGTTGAAGCATGTGGCGCAATGGCAACGCAGTGTGAGCTGGGAGCTGGTAGCTTGCGATTTTTGTGAGAGCCACTTGACGTGGGTAAGTAGAGCTCTCGCATTCTGGCGCTTGGCACTGAGCAAATCCCTGGAGCCAACAAGTACTTGATCTCTCCAGGCGTGTCTCAGAACAAAGGACCCTCAAGATTGGTGGTTTTCATTTTGGTTTTCCCTCAAAACCATTCCCCCCCAAGAAACTACCCTGAAAAAAGGCACCTGTGGAGACCCGCAACCTTGCGGAGGAGATCCTGTAAGGGGCTTGACACTTGACGTCATTTTGCTGCTGCAGTTCTCATTGCCCGGGGGGAGGGGGGAAGACACCCATCTTTTTCTTTGACGTCATTTTGCTGCAGTTACCATTCCCCGGGGGTGGGGGGGGGGGGCGGGAAGAGACACCCATCTTTCTCGCTTTTTCAAAGTCCCTTTTCTCGATGTCACTCTCGTCCTTTCGCCAGGTGCACGGCCAGGCGCGGCGGCTCTTCGGGCTGCACTTCGCCGCGGAGGTGCCGGACCGGTCGGTGGCATCCAAGGCGCGCGTGCGCTCAGCGCGTGGCGTGTGGCGCGTGGCGCCGTGGCTTCCGATTTTTGGTTCCGAAGCCGCGCCTTAGGCAGAGGGAAGTGAAGAGTTGGAGGAGACGGTGGTTGGCTCAGCAGCTCGTTTTTGTTTCCTTCAGGCGCTTTTTATCATTGCCGGAGTGAGCTCAGGTGCGATTTCATTGCGTGCCGAAGAAGGGCTGGGACCGATACTTTCGTGGAATGCATTGCCAAGCCTGCAACACGATCAACTGGAAAGGCGCCAGCCTGAATGACCGCTGCTTCCGGTAGACATGAATTTCTCGGATTCATATGAGAGGCTCATGGGGTATCGGGGGAAGCTGACATCATTTTGGATTCCGTTGGAGCTGAACATTTCGGCTTGCGCAAAGTTGAGTGGATGAGAAGATGAATCGTCCAGGTTCTGGTGGCTTGCCACAACCACCTCAGCTGTCAGCTTAATTGGCTCTCGATGCTGACTGAAGGGCCATGCTGCAAGATGCAGATCACTACTGAACCTCAGGTCAGGCTGCTGGCTGCTTCCCACCTCTGATGTAGCGGCAACTGCAGCTGCGGCCTCTCTTTCCCTTGGCGCCACCTGTCGCTCCCTCGCTCGGGAAAAAGCCAAGGTTGCCCAGCAGCAAGAAGCGTTGAAAGCCCTCGGCTGGCGTGTGGTGAGCTCGACTCCCGAGGCGCCAAAAGGGCCAAGGTCCTCATGCACTCGTGTCCCGACCTCGCGGACAGGTCTTGAAGAGCCTGGGGAACAAGGTTGGCCTGCAGGACTTTGCCAAGGCCTGCGGAGGCATCATGCCTTGGCATGTTCATTCAGCCCACATCTCAGGCCAATGGCCTGATGGACTTCTTGCTTGGCGCTTGTTGGATGTGTTTGTTTGCTGTGTTTGTTTGTTTTGTCTGTGTGAATGTGCGTGCGGTGCGGTGTGGTTTGGTGCAGTGTGGCTCAGTTGAGTGTAGTGTGTGTACGTGCGCTCGCTGGAGTTACTTCCGGCCAAGGCCAAGGCGGTATGCCTCTGCAGAATGCGCAGAATTCCCGTGCATTCTCAAGAAGGCGCCTACCCGAAAAAGAGCAATAGTAGCCCGACATGCACTTTGCCATTTTCTCATGCCCGTATCCCTACGTGTGACTGCTGGCGCCGAAGTAGCTGCTTATTCAACAGGCCTCCGCCAACTGACTGTTCAAAGCCAGGCGCCTGTTGTGCTTGCGGTCATATGGATGACGCCAAAGCAATACCTTGACAATCGAGCAGGACGCCAACCATGAAATGAGTTTGACACACGAACAAGAGGCATGCGATTCCCTGTAAATGAGCTGCCTGTTGTCAATCATCATACTGGCGCCATATGAGCATGTCGCCGTATTGGGCAGCACTGGGCATGGGTTGTGGTCCATGACTCAAACGCTGCGAGTTAAGCCATTGATATGCAGCACGGGCAGCCTGCCCGCTATGGAGCCAGTCAGTCCTATCGAAAGAAATTGCGTTGAACACCTCGTCCCATTTTGGGTTGATGCTCAGATGGCATCGCTGCCAGTTGCAGCCGCAACTTTGAGTATGGGCACAGCATGTGCTCGGTAGCGGGGAGGGGTATATACAAACAGTTGTATATGCATATGTACATATACGTGTTTTACGTATCTAAATGTGAATGAATGTACAGACTAGATAGACATGTATCTTTTTGTGAAGGCGAAGCAAACAAAAGCAGGGCCGGCCGCACAGCGACTGCAGGCATATGGTGAATTTGGAAAGGACGCTCGCAGCTGTCTCACATTGGTTCATGAACATTTGCATGGACAGGATTTCGTTCGGAGTCTTGTCTGTTTGAGTGAGGAGTGCTGCATAGTCAACAGCACGGAGGAGGTGCACCAGGCGCGCGGCAAGTCGTCAAGTCGTCGCAGTCGTCATTGCTTCTCACTGGCGAGACAAAGAAAGTATTTCTCAAGAGCCGGGGAAGCGGCCAACCAGGTCCATGGGAAAAGCCCAAGCTGAGACCTGCTTAGGTGGCCAAGGAAGGTCTGGGATCGCAATGGGTGCTGCAGGACACGTGCGTGAGTCAAGCAAAAAGTATCGCCGGTTCCTGCGGCCATACGGCAACAGGGGGTTATGATATTGAGAGCCTCCAAAGCGTTCATGGACCCGCCGAGGAGCTCATCCGCGGACGCTGCGAGGTGTCCACCACTGTGCTGGTCGACTGCGGCGTCATCTTGGACGAAGTCAGCACATGCTCTCTGGATTGGGGAAAAAGCAGTTTGGGGGGGGGTGCGTCATGGCCATACCGGACAAGAAACTTCCCCCTCTGAGGCTATGAGTATGATTCGGAGGTGTATGTGTGGCCGCGGTGCCGAAGGATCAGCAAACATGTGCACCACGTGCCGGATGATCACTTGCAGATTTTCCAGCTCTTCCTCCAAGACTACCGCGGCATCTGCAACTTCAACTACAAGGCGGGCTGCAGCTTTCTCGTGGGCTTCGCGTGGAGAAGCTGAACCATTGCAGGTCTGCGACTCTGGGCAGCTGAGCATTTTTGAGCTGAATACTCGGATAGGACAGGGTGTGGGAGCTGGCGCAAGCCGCAAGAGACTGTGTTGGGTTCGGCAGTCATCATTGGAGGCTCACTTGTTCGCTTCACGCAGTTGGTTTAACAATGTCAGTAGCCCGAGCAGCGGTCAGTGCGAAAGCCGGGGTCGAGCGGCTTGGGGGGCCCGAGGAGGTGATTTGGCGGTCGATGCTCCCCGAGACAGAGCGAAGCGACTGTTTGAGAAGTTGGATGAGCACTTCCACTGCCCATAGTGGACTAAGACGCCCTTTGCAAGCGTTTTCAACGGCTTGCCCAAAGCCAAGGTTTGCCCAAAGCCGGCAAGCCTCAGAATCCGATTTATTGAAGAAACACGAAAACACGCCCATCTCGGGGCCTGCTGTGGACGTGGAGGAGGGAAGCTTTTTAATGAAGGAACCCACAAGGTTTGGCCAAAGGACCCCTCTGAATAGTTGTAGGAAAGACCCCTCTGATAAAATTCAAAGCTATTGCTAATACTACTAACTCCTTTCATAGTTTCAAGGGGGGCCATTCCAAAAATCCATGAAGCGACTAGCCAGAAACAACAAATCTCTTCTTACAACTGGTTGAAAAAGCAAGGTTTGACAAGCTCGTAAGGGTACCCCGTTCAAGGCTAGTTCCACCCCCCCCCCCCCCCAATAACACACGCCCTATGTGGTGTGGCCAGACGGAAGGACCTGGGGGCACCCTAGAAAATCCGGCTGTCCAGACCTTGGGTGGGGTGTTAATCATGTGGTGGTGGTTGTCAAAAATAGGTGCCCCAAATGGAACCCTGGAAAATGGAAACATGGACTCAAACCTGCGGTCCCCTGGTGACCCATACCCATGTGCCCCCAGTACAGCCAACAAGCATCTTCCCTTCAGCCGTTTGCCCGGTTCAGTCGCCGCGGAGAAGCAAGGATACAAAAAAAGGGGTGACACGACGCAAGGACATACGTGTCACACATACCCACACACACAAATATAGAAGACACCATGTATATATAAGTATTACACAGATCATTTGTAAGGTCCGCAGCCCCAAAGCCTAGGAAAGCCTCGCACAGTCAATGTTCGGCGCGAAGCCGATAGATCCCAGCGACCTCTCGCCGCCAGATGAGCTAGCACAGGCCTGGGCGGCTGGCTGGGCGGGCAGTTTTGGGAACTTGGGATATGGCCGTGGTCGTCAAAAAATAGGGTAACCCCAAGATGGGTTGCTCTGGTACATGGAAGCATGGACGACAACCTGCGGTCCAATTCCTGGCGGTTTAATTTTGACCCATATCTTGGGATTCATCGTGAGGCGCTCTCCCTTTGGTCCCGGCACTCCGGCGGCGCGGCCTCGCGTGGCGCGCAAGCCGCGGCCTACGCCCGGTCACAGGACCTTGGTGTGCGGAAGCCCGGCGCGCCTTTTGGGTTTGTTCGCCGGTGGCCAGGCAGCCATTGCGCACAACATGGCCTACCAAGCCGCAATGAAGGCTCCCGGTTCGAGGGAATGGGTGTGGGTCAAAAATAAACCGCAAGGGGACTGCAGGTTTTAGTCCATGCGTCTATTTACGAGGGTTCATTTTTGGGTACCTATTTTTGACCCACGCCCATGGGGCTGGGCAGAGCGTGTCAGATTCGCGACCTGGATGACAACGAGTGTGTTCAGAAATATGCCGCAGAGTTCGAGAGACGGCGACTCAGTGTGTGGTGCGCGCAGAGGCCGCTGTTGCCGTCACTGGCCAAGGCCCCCAGCAGCAGTCCCTCCCGGCTTTTCTGTCCGCGCTGGTGCCAGCACTTCCGCCTTGGACTTTTTTTTGTGGACTGCCAAGTGTCGCAGGTGCCTCCTGGGCATGTTCCAGCTGCAAGACGTGTGGGGGTCCGAGAGGCCCTCATGATTTTCATGTGCTAGGCAGTCTGCCTCCGGAGAGCGTAGGGACTTGAAGGCACCTTGGGCAAGTCCGAGGTGAACCCATGCTCTGTGAGAGGGCCTCATGGAATGAAAGCATTCTTGTAGATGGTGCGCGCAAAGAAGCCCAAAGCAGCAGGAATGGGCTGACAGCTGCGATTCAGCACCCACTGAGTTGTGATCTCACCGCCCGAAAGCACGTGAGCGCCAACCCTACGCTTTCTCCCCGCAAGGTCCCGCCAGAATCATGTTGACGACCATTTTTTCAGCGGAGCCCCTCTGATTCTACTGTGCTGCTTGTGCAATTTGGCGACAACAACTTGGCATGGCTGGTCACACTTGCTACAACTTGCAGGTTTCGGCCCAAACTTCTTGGAATGGGTGATTTGTGTCGTGATTGGCGATTGTGATGTTGGCTTGGCGATGCCTTTAGGCTAGTTGTGAAGCGAGTGATGTGTGTTAGCCCCCGGTGTGGCAGAGACCAGGCAGAGTGGGATGTCGAGCTCAGCAGACATCCATTTTGGGTCGTTCACTGGCACCGCGTTCGGCCCAAAAGACTCACGCCATGGAGTCGGACGCCAAGAAGTTCAAGCCTTTCTTGCTTTGCAGCGAGGAGGGGCTGGGCTTTTTCAGTGGGGAGAGGCATTACAAATGGACTCTGAAAGCTCGCAGCGCAGGATGCTGGACTGCCCGCACGGGGCCTAGTCTTTGTCGGGCCTGCTCGGCAGTCGCGCGGTTTTCTGTTTGCTTGCTTGCTTGGGTTGGGTTGGTTGGTTGGTTCTTGGTTTGCTTTGCCTTGCCTTGCTTCCCATTTTTTTGGCGCTTCGCTTCGCTTCCTCGACCGCACACCTGGCCGCTCGCTCAAGACGCGCCTGGTGGGCGAGAGCGACCTCCACAGCTGGCAGCCCACAGAGGAGATGCTCTTTGAGCTGGATCGGCAGGTCCGGGGCCCAGCCATCGCTCGAGGGTTTGAGGCAGTTCGAGGCAGTATTGGGTGTGTATGTGTGTGTTTCGTGCACAGCGCACCAGCAAACTGTTGGTCAAATCGCAGGAAGGCGACGAGCTTTGTGACGAGGCGGGGGGAGGGTAGGCGCTGGACCGCTCTGTGCAACTTGAGAGGCTCTGGACCTGAAAGCACGGATGTCCGGCAGAGCGGCACACCGTGGTTGCAGGGCCTGGCGCTCACATCGCTACATCGCTCGCGCGGCGCGCTCGATGTTCGGCGGCTCGATGGGAGGTGCGCTTGACAACGCATCGTCTCGTTTGGCGAGCCGTGGAGCATGACAGTCCGCAGCTGAGCGCACATGTGACCCAGGGCATGTAGCCACTGTCAGCGCTGTTTCCTTCACAATGGGAATTCCGATGTCAGGTTGGCTAGCTTTGCGCCTGGATGCTCTCGAAAGCACAGAGACTTGGGGCGGCATGCTTCGCTCCCTCCGCTGCTTGCCGGGACCTTGGATGCAAAATCGTCCTGCAGCCTTTGAGCCAGGACCTTTCTTTGGTGGAAGTTCAATGATCGGCCCAATTTCCCAATTTGGGTTGAGGTGGTTCAGGGTTTGAGCGCGAGCCTTCAGGCTGAAGCTCCAGGGTGGCATGCTCGTGTCAGCGCCGGGGGGGAGGTTCAGCGACGGCGGCGTGCGAGTGGTCCGAGTTGTGGGAGGTACGTGAAGGGCGCCTCCGAGCACGTCACGCAGACCACGCTGGAGCACGGGCCCCAGCGTTTCGATATAGCGAGCTCAATTAACATGGAACCTGACAGGGGGGTCCCATTTCCTCTTAAAGCGACCCCCTGTGAGATTCCATGAGAATGGGGATTTCTTAAATCAGCTTTCGGAACTATAGCAAAAATTGCAGAATTGCTCCCTTGTATTTCTTGGAGTCGTCAGTGCTTTGGCCAAGGCAGGTCCGCCTCGCGCTGGACAAGGGCCGGTGGCGTGACGGCTCTTACGAGGCGGGCTTGGTGAGAGGTGGTTTGGAGTGAGTGCGGCAGTTTCGTTTTTGTGGCTCACCCACAGCTTTGCTCAAGTCAACTTCCAAGCTGAGCCGATGGCTGCGTGGCCCGAATGGTGCGCCTCGCCATTACGGCGGACTGCTGGGACTCCGTCAAGAAGGTCGTGCCGCCAGCCGAGCTTTCGGTGAGCACGAGGCTTGCGTTCGTTGCATCAGGTCAAGCGGCAGTTGGAGGATTTGAGTATCCCAGAGCCTGGCTCAGAGCCAAAGCTGCAAGCAGCGAGCGTTTCCAGTCTTCAGCCGCTAGTCTAGGGGGTTTCGTTTTGATGGCAGGATTGAAACGACCCTTTTATGCCATCAAAGTGACAAAATCCCAGACCCAAAACATAAAGCAAACAAAGTGCCAACAGAAGGTTGGCGCCTTTGGAGCTTCAAGGTTGGAGTCACGGCTTGCCTTCGAACCTCTCCGCGAGGTTCGGGTCACCAGCGATGGCAAGATCTTCTTGGAGACCTCTATGGAGGCTGGCGAACGGCGCAAGGGAGGTTGCGAGCTTTGGCAGAGGATACCCGGTTGGACCCAAGCCAAGCTGCAAAGTGAAAAGAGGACTGCAGGCATGTGTCCACATCACATGCCTGACGTGGAATGTAGGTGCAAAAGTTTTTTTCTCCTGGTGTCTAGGGGTGGTGATCCAGGTGATAGCGACAGATTCCCCCACTTGTTGCCGTGCATAATTTGCAGATGGAACATGTGTTTGGCCTTTTGAGTAACAAAGAATCCAGGGCACGGGACCATGCGCAGTGCCCAACTAGAGCATTGACTGCCATGCCAAAAAGGAAGTTGAACTGAAGCCAAGTGGGGTTGAAGTAAGACTTGTTGCGGATCGAGCAAGAACACTTGCTCCTACAGCGACCCCGACTTTACCGCGTCACGCCGAGACGTGTCTAGCCCAAACACGTGGCCCCCAAGCCACGCTATCGCCGCTTCATCTTCGAGGGTGTGCAGATGCCCTTGTGCAACTGATCAAAGGTACACATTTTTAGCTTCCGATCGACTCTCCGGGCAACGCCTCCCGTCCAAGAGAGGGGATCGATCGCCTGACGGCGCATGCAATTTGGTGGCTCCAGGTCCTTGCCGAGCGCGTGGTGTGCCTGTCCATGGTGGAGCGGGTCTTCCTTTGCATCGCGTCTGCACAACGGCCAAACCCGGGTGGGAGTGGACGTCCCGCCTCTCAATTCTTGACATTGGTTTGGGACCACCTGAATACCAGGTTTTCATTCTCACTCTCCTATTTTACCAAAGTTGCAATAGGAATTGGTAGAACGCAACCCGTCTTCAGCGATTTCGACCCACCGCGCTGTGCCAAAAGCGTCCGGTCCGCTCCGATGCGAGCGACGAGCAACTCGCTAGGCCTTCGCGAGGAGGAGCTCAGTGAGGAGCACCAGCTGTTCCGGGACGGGCCAAATTATTGGCTCCTCCAGGACCGGCGGGGGGGCGGTTGGGGGGGGGGAGGGTTTTAATTGGAAAGCCCTGGGGGGGGGGGCATCCACGAAGGGAGGGAGGGGGGGAGGGGCGGCGGTTTTTGTTTGTTTTCTTAGAGCCCTCTGGTGGGCGCGGATGCTTTTTTCTCAAAGCTTCTGAAAAGGGCGAAAGGCCGCAGCCCCGCGCCCAGGAGTGGATTCGTGGAGTGAACTGGGCGGCAGCCTTCAAAGTCATCGATGAGATGCATGGACAGCGGCCCCGTGCATGGACCCTCTGCTTGGAAAGTTGTATTTTCCCCAACAGCTGAAAAGCTTTGGGGTCTCAGCCCAGATGGGCTCCGGGGTGGTCCGGGGCGGCCCCCAGGCAAGGTTCCACGAGGGTTCCACCAGGGTTCCACAGGCTTCCACCAGGGTTCCACGAGGTTCTGCGAGGGTTGCGGGGTGGTGCGAGCACCAAAAAGAGCACCGCATGCCGTTGGGGATATTACCTGAGCTTGGTTTGACGCCTCCCTGCAAATGTCAAGCAACAGTTGTGCATGGATTCTAGCAACCCCCATGGACTTGCATTCAGCATCATTCAGCTTGGCACACTGTTGTGTGCCAGAAACGATTCGTTAAGTGCCTTCGTTAAGTGCCTGATTTGAGAAACAATCTCCTCAGGATGCTGGATTCAAAGAGGCATGGCTCGAGGGGATCCTCAATGAGAGCTTTTGACCGGCTCATCATGCAGCAGAAGGACCGGTTTCAAGGAAGTGTGAGACTGGCAGTTTTGTCAGTCGCTCTACCCCCAGCTGATTGCAGAGGTCCGTGACGTGCTGCACCAGCTGCTGCCCGAGTTTGGCCAGAAACCCATAGGAAGGTTCCGCCCGCGCGCCTCTCTCAGATCACCTCAGGCTGCGACCATCACCCGTACAACGCTGATCTGATGGTCTACGTTTTCATCAGCGCCACCCTGGGCTTTGTGGGGGTGCCGCTGTTGCATCGCCGCGTCAAGCAGGGCTACTTCCCGCACAAGGGCTTGCACCACAGCCTGTGTGCCTTGGCAAATTGTGAGCCGGTGGCTGGCACTTGCTTGGGATGCAGGCTGCAAAACATTACTCGAACTGACCGATAATAAAACCGATAATTGGCCCAGAAACATGTGAGCATCCGACAGGAGTATCATGGCAAGGGAGCAATGACTGCTTCTGAAACGTGGCGTGAAGTCTGTAAAGCGAGATGTGTAGCCCAAAAGTGAGCCCCCCAGTTCACATCCATTAGTTTTGGTGGCCAGGTGTACTTCGCGTACTGCACTTGTGCTGAGAAGTTGCAACTTTGTTGCGACTTGCGATGCGCAGCTGCCAAAGTGTACTTGATGTACTGGGCTTGTGCTTAAAGGTTGCGACTTCCGAACTGGAGCTGCCAGAGATGATAATTTGCGACTTTCGAGGTGGAGCTGCTAAAGTGTACTTCAGAACTCCGTGTGTTACACTTTTACTTAAAAGTTGCGACATTCGTTTTGGAAATTGTGGCCAGTTGCCAGCACCACCAAAAAGAATGCAAAGCGAGATGGTCAATCCCAAACGCGGGACCCCTACCAATGATTGTGCGCCAGCAAGCCTCTGGCCCATTGCGGGTGGCGGCATGTTGAAGCCTTATTACACGTCAATTGCTATGACCACAGAAAGGCTATGCGAAAACTGCTGGAACGCTGCGAGACAACGGAGAAACAAGAGGAATCTCACGGAGAAGGCCACGCTAAGACCATGGAAGACTAGGGAAGCTTGTCGTAGATGGACAACAGAGGAACACACTGAACTCCGAGGAGAAAACAAAACCGATACCGTTAAATCATGCGTCACTTTGCCACATGTGTTTCCCCTTTCCTCATCCGATGGCTTGTCCTTGCGGTGCTGCGCGCCAAGTAGAGATCGATCCATCAGGTTGGGGGCTGGCCGCCACAGCTGGCCTCAAGGCGGGATGAGTCTGGCAACGCTCTCGTGATTTTGCTCGGAGCGCAAGGCTGGTGAGATGGTCATTGACCCCATGGCAGGCAAAGGCGGGGCTGTCATATTCCGGTGAGATGACACAGGAACGGGAACATGTCGTCCTACACACACCATATACAGTTCCAGAGCAAGGAGCTATTGCAGCCTATCGTGATTCATAGTTATTCTTCGGGGCTACCAAGGGCCATACCATCATACCATCCGCATGGCTCCCCCTGCTGTATCTCCAACGTTGGAACTCCGAGTGCTCCTTCCGCAGCTTCCGTCTAGGTGTAGTCCTTTTGGAGGCGGCCGCATTTTGGCCGGCCTGCTGCTACCAGGGCCTTGAGCTGGACGTGCAGCAGCTTGTGCTTCGGCGGTTGAACGCCTAGCCAGGAGGCCGGTATTGGTAAACCACGGGACACAAGAACCCTTAAAGGTACGTCGGAAAATAGCGGGTATGTAATACGCGCAGACTGCCGCTGGACATGTGTGATTTTTGTGCTTTTTGTGGGGAAAAGCCTGAGTCCGGCAGAAGCCTAGGTGCAGGCACAAGCAAATCTGTGTCTCTCGCCGGCATTTTTTTTTCAACAGGTTGGCCAGTGCTTGGCAGTTGTTGTTGAAGACAGATTTGTGACAAAGGTTATGCACAAGAACGTGGAGTCTTGCCGCTGGGGCAGTCAGTGGGTTTTGTCCGCGCGGATTGCCGCAATCTCCCATTGGCAGATGGATCGGTGGATGTTGCAGCTCGACTGGGCAAGGTAGACGGTTTGGGTGTGTCTTTCTACGAGGTGTCCTTGGGGTTGGTTGCCAGGGAAGCCAAGTTGGTTGCAAGTGTACCCAAGTACAACTGCTTCAGGGGTTCCTAGTTTCGCAGACTTGCCTTTCAAGTCCAAAACGCTTAGAGCCAAGTATATCACTTCGGCTGCTGCGACCTGACGCGAGGTACTGAGTGACTTGCCCTACGGCCGGCAATACGGCTCGGAGGAAGTGCTCTGGCTGAAATCAGTTCTTGCAGGGCCACACTAGGGTGTGTCCTCCTTTTAGACCCCCTAAAACGATGCTTGTCCTCTGGTATCCAGTTTAAAACCACAAGAAAAGGGCCCACTGAGGAGAATCATGCACTTTATGCGGCAGCGCTTCTGGAGATTGCGCGAGTGCTGACTGTGAAGGGCCGAATCTTGGACCGAAGCGTGTCCTACGCCAGCCTTATCTCATGAACAGCACAGGAGCCGTTCTCATCACCAGCGATACCGACTCGAACAACGAAGCAATGGCGGCAGCGACCTTGCGAGCACAACTGCACACGGTTCGACGCGTAGGCGCGGCTTCTTTTGTTTTCCTCACACCGCTTGGCGAAATGAGCTCAAATCGGGGTTTCTCCAAATGGCGAGGTTGTTTTCTCTCCCCAACAGCTGAAAGCTTTGGGGTCTCAGCCCAGATAGGCTCTGGCGCGGCCCTGAGGTAAGGTTCCAGGAGGGTTCCACCAGAGGTTCTGCAAGGGCTGCGGGGTGGTCCGGGGTGGTTTGAGGCTTGGTTCCACGAGGGCTCCACCAGGGTTCCACCAGGGTTCCACCCTGCGAGGGCTGCGGGGTGGTCGGGGTGGATTGAGCCTTGCTCATGGGCGGAACACTCGGCAAAACCGAAATCAATGGTTTTCAGCACACTTTCACTGTTTTGACACTTGCTCAGCTGCTCAGACAACGCGGCCTGAAATGTTGGCTTTGTAGCAAATCAGATCACGTTGCTGCGGGACTCGCTGTGCAGCAGAGTAAATGCTTGGCGTTACTGAGTATTTGGCGCCCGGCATGCATTTTTTTAAAGGTACGAGAAAAAACGCTCGAATTGCCGATTTCTGCTCAACCTCCCAAAAAACGCTCGCCCCCCGAAAAACGCTCGACCCAACTCCCTTCTACATCCATGCAGAGGAAGGCGGGCATTTTTAATTTGCACTCGTTTGCGGATATTTGCGCTCGTTTTGCATTTCGATGCAGCGACCGATCATCTTGGAGGACCGACCAGCCCGGTTTTTGGAAAAACACTCTAAGCAGGAAAAGGTGTACGTTTACCATATTTTGGTGACGGCCCCTGGTTTTGCAATATGTTTGGGCTAAGGGCAGAAAGGGCGCTCCAGGTTGGTGCCACGAGGCTGTGAGGGCGACGGGGTAATTCCAAGAAATGCTCCACGAGGTTTCCACCAGGTTCTGCAAAAGCTATGGGGCAGCTCTGAGGAAAGGTTCCAACAAAGTCCACGAGGGTTCCACGAGGTTCACCGGGCCCGGGTCAGGGCCGGATTGCACCGTCAGGGGCCCGCTTGCACCGTCGGGGCCCGATCGGGCCCCGATTGCGCTGTCGGGTCGATCTCAACTGTACCAAGCTGGCGTTGCCTAGTTTTGCTAGATACAGTTGTGAGGCCGCATCCTAAGTTGAAAACCCGTTGCGCTATAATATGGGCGGCCGGGGTTGGTGGGAGCCCGCTTGCACTGCGGGACCATCGGGCCTCGGTCATAAAGTTGCAAGGCGGCATCCTCAGCAAAACCGGTGGTGAGGAGGGTGCCGGGGTGTTTCCGCGAGGATTCTGGGAGGGTGTGGTGCTGTTGGGGATATCGCCTGAGCTTATTTTTTTTTGGGGGGGGGAGGGGTGTTTGAGGGGAAGCTAAAGGAAACCAACCACTGCAAGGCCACCACTACCTGGAGCAAACATGCAAATGCAGGCTTCCGCTTTGGTGGGAACAAGGACCGCGTCCGCTGCGCAATGTACTGCCTTGTCACTCAAGCTACAGCCAGCACGGCCAAGATTCTTGGCAGCTGGCATGTGTTCAGACAATCTTGTGAGCAGCTCACGACTTTGTTGAAAGTCAACGCGGAGAATGGAGGGGCTCATGAAAGCCAGGTTGGGTTTGTCCCAAAATCGCAACACTTGGTGGTTTCCTTTTGGTTTCCTTTTGGTTTCCTGTTGGTTTCCTTTTAGCACCATCCAAACAGGGTACCCTCAAAAAAGGACAGCCCCATATTGTCCGTAGCTGTTGTGAGATGTCTTGTTGCGCGCGAAGCAGATTTCAGCCAGCTGAAATTTCAGTCAGCCGAAATAGCTCAAGTTGCCTAAGGACAGCGGACCTCTTTGATTGGAGCTGCATTCGCCGAGTGGAAGCAACGCCAGGGTTCGTATGGAAGGCAGCCAAGCCTTTGCTGCAAGTGTATGTCCCCCTGAAGGCGACTGGCGGTCAGGCACGGGAAAGGGTGCTTCGCCAGAAAGATGGGGGTGCGAGCAAGATGCAAGCATTTGCACACGCAAGACCCGCGCTGGAGTGTTACGCCTTGGACGAGCTTGGAATTGCGTGCTCCTTGTATCGCATCGCGGGGCGGCGCATCCCTATGCTATGACGGTCTTGGTCTTGGCACTCTTCGACTCCAAGTGCTGAAGTCCACGCTCAAAGACACGGACGAGGCCGACCAGGCGATGGCCAATGCCAAGTAGGTTCTTCAGCATGCGATCCAGATCTTCGAGCCGGGGAGATCTGCGGAGCTGCGGGGGGTTCACAGAAAAGCCCCTCATATCCACCACCTCATGCCTCGGTACAAAAGAAAGCCAGCGGCACTCGGAGTCGGTTGAGCTATGGGTTGTGATTTTGGCAGTCTACTGGCTCGCAGGGTACAGCATGACATGGCATCTGGAAGGGCACACGCAGCTGTGTGGCACAGCACATGGTTGGCTTTTCGCAAGAACACCGCCTTTGTTCAGAGGGCCGAGTCCTAACTTGGAGTCAGCCTCTGCCAGCATTCACTTGCAGGATGCCTTGAGGTAGCATGGCTGATAGGCCGCTTCAGGTTCCGGACGCTTGCCGAACCAGTACTCCCAGGGTGGATGGTGTTTGTTCCACGCGACGTGACACCTTGACACCTTGGCTTTGGGGGGAACGTAGGCTGTTGACGATCCGAGGACGCCCTCCAGGAATTGAATGCCGCAGCCAACCGGGGCTTGAATCCCGCCAAGGGAGGAGCCCGAAATACCCCTGCAGACTACCAGGCGGGACATGGGTCGCATGGCGGGGGGGTGATGCAGTGCTCACACCGTGCCGAGGTCTTCTACTTAAACATTCTTGTCTTGGAGGCAAAGCCCTTTGAACATCCCGGGCACTCCCCCGTCGGGCACCTCGTGTCAAGCAAGAAGACAATTGGGGCGCTTTGAGTTCGTCTTTTGCTTTGCGTTTTGCTTCCCCGAAGGGGTTGAGCAATGGGAAGCTAAGGACACATGAGCTGGGCTTTACGGTGCTGAACCATTTGGATGATGAGGATGCTGCATGCTCAGGGCAGATCTCAGAAAAATGGTCCCAGCCATTTTCGGGGGTCAGGTCCATCGCATCTTCTCTCCTGCTCACCCGAATGCTGGCTATGTGAGCCACCTGGCCTGGGCACCTCGGCCGGGTTTCTCAAAATGGAAGAAGTCAACCCCTTGTCCTGGGGATGCCTCGATGACCATCAAGTTGTTTTTCGATTGTTAAACAAGTTGTTTTCGTTTGATACCCTACCGACCTAGCCCTGTTTCTGGGCGTCCCCTTGTTCTGGGCATTCCGGCCAAGGTGGCTCACATAGACTTTTTTGCGAATGGAGTCCTTTTTTGTCTAATGGGTATGCATTCCAGCCAGCCAGGATACCGAAAAAGGACTCCACTGGTTGCCCGGAAGCTGTTGAAATGGGGCCCCATCCCTGAAATCGAGCCCGATGGAATTTTGAAGGCCGTGCCGGCGAAGCTCAAGCGAATTGGCGCCACCGCCACCGCGGAGCTCATGTACAGTTGTGGATCTTTTGCTGCCCTGTCCTCTCCCTAGTTCAGAGTCTGGAAGTGGGGAGTTTTCTTTTGGAATTGTGTTCCAACATTGGGAAACAGACAAAATAAATACAGACAGCAGGTGGAGCTTGGCAGTTTGCTACCCGCTCCTTGGCGATTTGTCAGGAAGGTTACAATTCTGCACGCGAACGAGACCGTCATGAACTCGCACAGGTTGATTACGTTCTCGCAGCTCTTGCACTCCTGCACAGGGTGTCAGCTGGAAACCAGCGACGCCAGGCTGAATGGCAGTTTCGGGGCGAGTCGCGAGTCTGAGCGCGCCCCTTTTCACATGGCTGTGAGGCAAAACCAATGGGATCCCATTTTGGGGTAGGTGCACCACCCATTTTAGAACCTATTTTAGTGGGGATTGGGATGTTCAATGGGGAACGGGATTTTGACCCATATGCTTGTTGCATCCATTGTCAGGATGTTCTTGATAGCATGGTGCAGCTTGTCCACGAGAAGCTTCCCGAGATGCTGGAGGATGACGGCATGCAACCCGACAGAAATGGACCTTTCTGTCTGTCTTTCGCCTTGCTCGGAGGGGCTTGGTTAGCTAAGGCTCGTGGAAATCGTCACGCAGCCGGGCCTGCAGGAGGAGGTTGAATATATTGAAAAGGTAAAGAAGTTGATACGTTCTCCACAGTCTCATCATCGATGCTCGGCAAACCTGGGGAGAGGGGGGGGGGTTGGAGCACGTGCTTACGCAAGTTTCTGTTGCGCTTGTTTAAGTTCATGGGTAGACCGTAGACCATTTTTCTTTAAATCGGTTTTGTCCACTTACTGCGCTCTGTGCAGTGCAATGTCGCTGTGCGTTGCTTACCCAACTTACGTTAATCAATGGCCGAGGCACATTGACATGCCACCAGTGCCGAGTGTGAGAAACCATTGTCTGGCTTGAAGGCAGAAGTGCCCCGCGAAGAGATCCCAAAGTGCCAAACGCCGGTCAGTCGAGTCAATATGCCACAAAAGATGCGACCCCAAGAGGGCCCCTGCAAGTGTCCTGCGCGACCGATTTTCGACAGCTTACAGAGCCATCCGAGGTGAGTACTGCACGCCAGCTTCACTCAGCGGATGTACAGTTTCCTGACTTCTGAGATGCGCGCGTTTTTCTCTCCGGCTTGGTGCAACGGGGGTTTCGCGGGCAAGCGTGTTGGGAGCCTGGACATGCCCGGACCATCCGGCCAGCATTTGAACCCGCGCTTTGGACTCAGAATGGGATGCGCGAGGCCTCAAAATGAGGCATCCGGCAGAATGACCCCAGGATGGCGTGAAAGCATCGGCGCATGCGCTCAATTTGTGGGCTCTTCTCTGTGAGAAAAAGCCGCATGTCGAAGCCTCTAGCATAGCGTTTTGCTGGCAAGGTCGCTGCACAAGCCGGCTTGCAGCGGCTTCTCAACAACCAGTCCTCCAAGCAGCAGGCGCTGCCAATACGCGCAGCAAGACTTCGGTTTCGGGTTGGCAGCGTTGGCTTTCCAGTCTTGGGCTTCAGAGGCATCCTTTCACCCAGGCGCCCTCTTGTTCCCCAAGTGGAGGAGCCAAAGCTACAGATGGCTGCGAGCGCCTTGCAGGCCACCGGGGCCACGCTGGACGTGGCGCTGGCAGATTTGGATTCGCTGAGGCGTGCTGTGGGGTTGGCCGGCATGCACCCAAGGGCGCAAGGGCGAGCTTCCAGCCAGCATAGACCCCAAATGACAAGCACTAGTTTTGGTGTTGGCAAGAGGGGTGATTGACAACGGTGAATCAAATTGTAAGTGCAAGGCAGGCGAGGTCGCATCTTCTCTTGTACAAATACCCTGCTGTTGCACCCTGAAAAGCCTCAGCATCTTGCGATGGCTCCTGCAGCATTTCTTCACCAGACTCAGACCCTCTCATACCGTGGCAGCAATCGCAATTGAACTCTGAAAGAAAGGGCAACCCGCAAGATCATCCTGAAAGTACATGTTGCACCCTGCAACAGACCCTGCAACAGCACACTGCGGCACGCTGCCATAGAGCACTGCAACAGCACCCTGCAATACACCCTGCAACTGCACTGTTCAATAGCCGCACCCCGCGCAACTCCCTGCAGTAGTGCCTTGCAACAGCGCGTAACAGCGCCCTGCAACAGCGCCGTGCAATGGCATCCTACAACAGAAACACCCTTGCCCACCCTTCAACAGAACTCCGCAACAGGCACCCTGCCAGAATTTTGAGACACATGCGAGTCCCTTCTTAAGATCAGAAGCCCCGACAGTTTTTTCGACAAGCACCAAAGAAAGAACCAGTTGGAGGGGCCGTGCCTTGATTCCTTACAGGCGGCATGCTGCAGAGGCTGCGAAGGCTGCCAGACAGGCTGGTGAATTTGCGAGCAGCTTGCCCCGTACCCCCCCCCTCTACGGTCGAACCTTGATGGGGAGTCTGCGGAGTTCCACGTTGGTGGAATTGGAAGGTTGCTGGTGGTGTCCGATCTGAAGGTGAGGAGATTGCCGGTTGCAAGCATTGATGCAGCACGGCTCCTGGACACTAGCGTGAGGCTATGGCGCCAACAGCGATGTCAGCAAGTTGTTGGAGGAGATGCCATTTTTGTCGCGCACGCCCATTTCTTAGAACGCTAAAGCGATTGCAGGACTTTGGCCTATTGCAAGCGGACGGCAGCGCGATCTCTATGTCCGGCGGTAAAACGAAGGCAGGGGGCAAGCCGGCCACCATCCAAATGGATACAAAGATGTGGCAGGATGACATCGTTGCGGACGTGACCAAGGTTTGCACTGCAGCACTTGAGAAGAAGGCACGGGCATTGAGCATCTACAATGGTGAAAGTCGACAGCACTGTCACGGACGGACGTTTGAACCTTTGGTCAAACAACTCGACCGCAGGGTAGGGGAGCGATGCTGTTAATGCATGATGCCTGGGACCCAGAATCACTTGTGCCTGACCCGGTGTTACTCGCCATGCGCCGATGTGAAAAGATCAGGTTTTCTGCTTGGTGAACCGCGCGAGGGGCACGGCATTGGTGTCGCCTGAGGAGGTGCGGCCAGTTGTCCGGAGCCGACTCCCTTTGGCATCTCTTGCCATCCAGGTCATCTCTGCCCTGCGGAAATGCCGCGCGCCTTACTTGGGGGTTGACCAAAAGGTCCGTGATACATGATGCCCGGTAGGGAAACCACAAAAAAAAGCTGACTTGTACCACATGGGGGAAGTTACCCATGGGCCCATGGAATTTGATCAACCACTTGGAGGCTCCAAACCAGGCGGCCCCTTGCGCACCCGGAAGCTGGGCTCTGTGGGCGCCATTGCCCGCGCCTCAGCTTCCCGGCGATCGGCCCAGCGCGAACCCGCCCAGGCGGTGGCGTTGGCGAGGCGCGGCAGCGGCGTTGCGTTGGAAGACGCGGGGCACGTCTTTGCCACAGGACCAGTGATGCTGAGATGGATGCGCCTTTGCTGAACATGCTGGAGGCGGGGGACGTGCTGGCTTGATGTTACACACGCAAAAATGAGTGCCGCAGAGGGAAGAGGTTGTCCGCCTGGACTCTCGTTGGCCTACGGGTATGGGAATAGGGGTTGGCTAATGCCACGCCAGTACAGCCCACCTGTTTTACTGATCCTGTTGAAGTGGGCACGAATATTTGCAGCGCTTCATTGACATTGAACGTCGTGGCAACAGGTGAGGAGTAAAGAACCCTACATTCCAACAGGCCTACAGGTGCTGGCAAACGGCCTGGTTGCATGAGGGCTGCTTGATGCCCAAAACGCGAGCAACAAACATGCAGTTGCTTGAGCATTGCCAGCAAATCCTGTACGCGGAGCCATGGAAGATGCTCCATCTGATCAAAACATCCATCCCTGCTTGGCTGGTTGCCAGTCATCCTAGCCAGCAGCATCATTGAGTCTCTCTGCGCAAAGAGTGAATGAAGCCAAGTTTGCGAGCCTTTCCTGCCAGGAGGCGCCCCTTTCAGCGTTCCGAGTGTCCACGGAGCTGAAGATCACAGTTGCAGAGGCCAGGTAGATGCTGAGACGGGTACGCAATGAGTGTGGAGCTGTGCGAGAGAGGCAGTGACAAAGTGCATATGGAGCCAAACATCAATTGGGTGTGGGATCGGCACAAGGCAAGATATTTGCTGCAAGATGCAGAGCAAAGAGCTGTCATTGTTCGAGACGATGCCCCGGAATGTGCAGCTCGGAGGCATGGTTAGTTGGTTAGTTGGGAGACGTACCAATAACTGCCAATAACTCGCACCTCTCCAGTCGTGCGGTCTAAGCAGGGCAAGTTGAGGCAAGGAAGGGGCAGACGACAGTTAGCTTCGCGTGTGTTTCAGAATCAAGCTCCGGCTCGTTATTTTCAAGTCTGGCCAGAAAGAAACACCACTGAGAAGCGGATAAATTGCGCGGGCTTCACGCTTGCCAAGGTGTACTTCTATCGCAACTTCTTCAATGATTTCTGAAGGAATGCGGTAAACCAGCGTAATTTGCGCACAGGCACAGATAATGAAGTCGTTCCTCCTGGGATCGCTTTGCTTTCCAGCACTTGCGCCATCGAATCCGGTGCCATCGAATCCCCAGGTTGCGAAGGCTTGAGGAAAAGACGAGAGCACCAGAGGCAGCTGTCTGGAGGTTTGGTTGAGCCTTGCACTATGCCGGGTCAGGCTCAAACCTCGAACCCCCAGAAGGGTGAACACGCGAGGGTCACCGTCAGCCCTCCCCGCTAGCATGAGCCCATTGTTGGCCCTGAGCCTACGCCCAAGTGTACTTTCAGCAGGTTTATCAGGCCTTTCTCAAAGCACACGGCCCGCATCGGTAATCGTTCTCCTTACTCATGCACCTTGACTAGCCACTCTGAATGTGTCAAACTCGGGGACCCACCCCCCAAGGGTAGCCTCAAAACTGCGCGCAATCAACATGTTGGGCTAATGTTCCTTGAAAAAAACTTGCTGTTGGTGACCCTAAGGGGCCAGGTGTTGGTTCGCTAGTCATACAACAATCCTCGTGAAACGAACGGGTCAAAACGGGGATGAAAGACTGCGTGGTGCTCCCTGGCCTGTACGGCATCTTAGCCCGGAGCTCAGTTTGGGCTCAGCTGAGGCTCGCCCTTCGCGAAGCAAATCCCCAAGATTGAGGGGTATATTACCCCATGTTAAGAGGCGATCCATTTTTTTCCCGGTGTGGTTATTTCCCCGCTTTTTTTGTCCCATGTTGTTTTTTCTCCACGTTGTAACACCACCCCATTTTCCAAACCCATGCCGGGACCGAAAGGGGCAGAGGCCTCCGGTTGATAAGGCGCAGAATCTCGCCTCGCCCCAGGTGCAGCTCCTGCTCTTTTGCTGTTGCGTGGGCGTGCTTTTGATCAAGAAGGCCGGGCGCTTGGGGTTTTGGTTTTTGGGTTTTTGGGCTGCGGAAAAGGCGGGAGCGGCACAGAATGAGGGCTAAGCTTTGGGGACAGTAGGAAAGCAGCCAGAAAAGATGGCGGTCGAAGAACCGTGAAATTCCGAAGGTCAGAGAGGGCTCCAGGAGGACGTGGCTGCAGTTCGGCTTGGATTCCTCGAAGCAGTTTGTCGGCTCAGGCAGGAGTACTGTGAGCCTTTTCGGGGCCTTTGCCTTTTCAGGCCTTTTGGGAAGTACACATGCCACGGAGACTTTGTGAGCATTGCCCAGGATGGATTCACGTCTTGAATCTGTTGCAGCTTGGGCTGCATTTGAGGGTGGTGGGTCCTGGCAGTGATTCGATTGATTCAATGTGGCCGTGGGTCAGCATCAATGGTACCAATTTGGGGTAGGTGCAGCACCACCCAATCTAGTATATTTTAGTGGGGGTTGGGATGTTCACTGGGGGTGCAGGATTTTGACCCATTGCCATGTATTTGAGGTGTGCCTTGGTTATGGGCACCCAGATGGATGAGTGTGATGAATGTGAGTGGTGAGCCCTGGGCAGCCAAGCAATGTTTGCTGAAGTCCTTTGGCTGTTCCAAGCGGAACGCCGCGCGCTTGGGAGGTACTGGCTGAACATCATGCTGGACACCACTCTTGGGGCCGGGGCTACATGACGTTGTAGGTTTGAGGCGGAAAGATGAATGCGGGCCACCAGGTGCTCGTCGAGTATCTCCTGCTCCGGCTTGTCATGGAGGCACTGAACACCGTCCTGCAAGAGGGTGCGCAGGAGCGGCATGTTGCAAGCACACTCTTTTGCGAGCAAGCGCGCCTCCTTGCCAAGCCGAGGACTTTCGCACTGGTAGCTACTGGAGAGGTGGCGACTTTGAAGCCATGCCGGCAAGGGTTGAGAGGGCTTGCCTTCAGCACAGATCTTGGGCATTGGATGAATCCCCCGACATTTGCAGGCGCAAGCGGGGCATGAGCATCATTCCTGCCAGGTTGCTATGTACCTCAAACAGCTTCTTGTTTGGCTTCTCATCGTGACCTTCATGAAGCTGAGCATGGCAAGCTACTTACAGAGTTGCCGACTTTTGAATGACATGCTTATCAGAATTCCGCCAAGTGAGGACCTAAAACCGTAGGCTCCAGTATTTGGTCAGGGAGGTAGTAAGGTCGATGTGAACCCGAAAAACCATCCTGGTAAAGCCATCGGTCAATGGGCTTACGCAGGTGGTGCTGATGATACTTCTGGCGAAGCCTTTGACGCTGATCGCCCGAGCCATGCTGAAACCCTTCCTGGCCAACCCCAAGCAGCGCGCCCGGGTGTCCCTTTTTGCGGCCGTAGGCTGCATGGGCACAAACTTGGGCTGACAGCCGTGACAGAGGAGCAGCCAGGGAGACACATGGTCAGATTCGGTGCAAACAAGGCTGAAACTTATCATGGTGATGATCGTGACCCCCGTGCGCTCCTTATTCCCGTTTTGGGCGTGCCGCAATACTCGTTTGGCTGCTTGCGTGTGTTGGATGTAAGTGCCTATGAGGGCCATTTCACTTTTTGGGTCCATTGCGTACACTGTGTCATCTCGCGCTGCAGATGTTCATGAATGCGTTCCAATTCTGGGTCACGGACAGCTTCCTCAAGAAGCAGGAAGGTGATCAAGATCATGAAGCCTTTTCTAGAGGTGCTTGCCTTGGCCGCATGTCGTCGACAAGAACTCCGGATTGATGAACCTCCCATCAGTTGTGTTTTTTGCGGAGCTGGACGAAATTCGTGACTGAGGGTCAGTTACTTCTCCGCTGGTGGGAAGCATAGGCGCTCATGATTTGTGCGTTTGCAGCCAGCATTTTTCCCCGACAGGTGGTGACGACAACGAGGCGGCCAACGAGAACGGCGCTAAGCACGTGAGCGATGCCCAAAACCCTAAGCGGCCATTTTGTTCGGTGGCTCCAGTACCCGGTTTGTGGAGGTCCAAACCTTTCTGGCCACAGTGGGTTTCACTGCTCAAGTCGCACAGCCTTTGTCTTTGCCGAGGCTTGAGAGCCTGCTCCACAGGGAAGGTCCAGATCACTCTCAACCGACACCTGGCAGACAAGCGATAGCTTTGCATGGTGAGCACCTCAAGTTCCTGAAGCCGAGGCATGACAAGAAGCAATCTCTGAGAACCCGTGAATAAAAACAATCGAAAAAGCGACGCTTATTCAATCAAATGTTGATGTTTACGTTTATGTTGTTTATTCATTTCTTTTGACGTATTCATATGTATTGTACAAACAAAATTACTTATTATATAGAGTATTCTACTGTGATTCAATGATATTGTATATTTCATATTTACATGAATAGTACTTTACAGATGATTCTTTTCTAACTGGGTGCGGCCTGACTCGAGGTCGCATTTTTCGTGCACTACAGAACAATTGTAGCGGTACTCCGGCCATTCGTCGTTCAGCTATGCGCATTCCGGTCTCGTTTCTTTAAAGCCGATCCAAGTCCGGTCAAATCCCTCTTGAAACCGGTCAAATTTCCCTTAAAACCCGTTATCTAGAAAATGATCAAATCCACTCTAAACACCACAGAAACCGGTGAACTTCCCATCCCCAACCCTCCAGAAACCGGTTAAATTCCCCTTCTCAAAGCTGGTCTAACTCCGGTCAAATCCCCTAGAAACCGGTTACAATCCCTCTAAAACCGGTCAAGCTCCGCGCCAGAAACCTATCCAAACACCCCTGAAAAACAATAGAAACGAATCAAATTCTCCTCTAGAAACCTGTCGAATCCCCTCTAAAACAAGTCTAACTCCGGCTAGATCTTTCTAGAAACCGATAACAATCCCCCCCCCCGTTACCGCTCCCCAGAAACTAATCCCTTGGCCCAAGCTCATTGCCATTCTGTGCTTCTTTGCAGCTCTTATTCTGATCTTTGAAACTATATGGAAACACTTACCCTCTATTTTGGACATTAACTTTTGCAAACACAAGATTGTAAGACAAACTAAAGCATAATGTATACCTTAAAGCTAATTAAAAACGGATACGATATATTTATAATAAAAGGGCTTTTAAGGAACTGATGACTTTAAGGGGGAGTTCAAGATGATATTTTTATAAAACTTGCTTTTAACATATTAAACTCTACTCTATTTACCTCTAATGCTTTATTATTATTTTTGCATCAATAAATAAACATATATATATTTAAATTTATATTTATTACTCTTAATTGTAATATTGTTTATATTATAAATAATTTTCTAAATAATTTACTTTAATAATATTTATTTGATGAATTATACATTTTACGAATTATATAATATTTGATATTTAATTATTATTTTCTTTTAATATATTATTATTAATACTAATATATATTTATATTATTTTTAATATTATAAATAATATTTTAAAATAGATTATTTAAATTATATATTTTTATATTATAAAATAATATATTTTATTATTCTAAATTATATATTTTATAATACTCTTCAATTTATTTCTTAAATTAATAAAACATGTTTTTTGATTTTTTTTTAAATATTAATATTGATAAATTTATCATTGTAAATATATATATATATATGGTTATGTATTTTTTGAGGATTTGAAATATATGATATATTATGGATTTTGTTTTGGAGGTTTATAACGAAGGTTTTTATTATATAGGCTTGTATTGGTAATTCATTTTTTGATATATATTAATATTAATAATTGATATAATATAAAATAGAAATATAATATATAAAGGATGTTTTTGTAGCTTTAATTATATAATAATTATGTAATGAAAAGGAAATTTATAATATATAAAGTGCATTTTCATAATTTTGGTTTATTTAATGTAAGTGGTATGGCATTGAGATATATAATGAATATGGAATGAGATTTATAACGAGGTAAAGCAAATATAATATATAATGCGCTCTTTTGATGGGCTCGGGCTGGGAATTAGAAATAAAATAGAATATAAATAAAAACATATTTTTTATTCTTTGGAAGGTAATCTTAATTATTTTTAGGATTGGTAATAAATATTGATTCGATTCAAATATAATAATAAAGAGGTGTCGATGCCTCGCTATAATATAGTATAACGGACAACGGGAATATTATTCGAGGTGATGAAAATATTAGTGAAGGTGATTTGTCGAACTTTGGATTCCGTTGTTTTGGTTTGGTTTTGTTTTTTTTAGGATTTGTATTTTTGGTTTATCTATTTTGGTGAGTTTTTGATTTATTATGGGATTATTTTTTTTTATTTTTTTTTAAATATTTTATTATTTATATATCGAAGAAATATATTTTAGATTAATAAAGATAATTTTATATATATATATATATTTATTTTTATATTTTGGGTTTAAATGAATTAAATTCCCCAGACAATTTCTAAGGGACATTTTTATGGAAGGATTTGTAGTATAAATCTCGGCTTTGTCTTGCACTCCGTTCTATATATCAAGGGAGGTATTTATATAGAAAACCATTTTATTAAAAATAATTATATATATTTATATATTATTATGTTGAAATGCAAAATTTATTTTCTTGTTTTTTGTTTTTTAGATGCGTTATATGGGTCTATTTTGGCTGCAAAACATTACGGAGGAATCCATAAAAGGATTGTCAATCTATAATACAATAGGCAATTCAATCCAAATCTTCAAATCGAGATACTCGAGGACATTAACGACGACACAGAATCGGGAGATAAAATCTCGCCCACCCACAATTCAGCGCCACTTTAGGCACGGAGATTATATCACCCCGTTCCGAAAACGAGGCCTAAACCAAACACACAAAAAAGACCGAGAATCTCGATCCACTAAACACAAACTAAGGGAAATAGTCGTAAAGGACACCGCCATACATCAGAAGTGATCGAAATACTCATCGAAAGTTATAGACAAAGCTAAGGAAACCAATTCATCATCCTTGGAGCACATCTCCAAAATCACCTGTTTATGCGGCCAAACGCCGCCTTCCGATGCCTTTTACATGCCAAATAATGATTTCTCTACAATTCAAATGAGACTCGAATTGTAAATTGGGTCTATATAGTCCCAAGACATAGAGCACGTTTTTCATCCACCCAATCCACCCGTACTTTCCCAAACCAGAGGCTCGTAACCAATATTTTGAGCCATATATCGACTCCACAAATCATCATGAGTGCGTTTATGTTCGGCATATTGCCATATTGTTTTTTAAAATATTTTTAATATTATAGTAATAAAATATCAAATATATTATATATATATTTATATTTTCTTTTTTATTATTATTTTATAACATATTAAAATAAACGCCTAAAATTATTTTAGTAATTTATATCGAATAATTATTATATTTTGATTAATAATAATATTCAAAATTCGGAAATTTATATAATGGTAAATTGGTAATAAACATTATATTATAGAATTTCATTTTTTTTAAAATATGTTTTTTAAATAAAACCATTTTTAGTAATACCCTAAATTATATATAATATAATACTCTACCGACCTTATTATGAATCACACAAATACGTTTACATCATCATTAACACCACAAAAATAATATACTAACACTTAATTAATAATCACAATTCATATTTTTAATATAAAAATTATAAAATTTATATATATTAATTATTTAAATAACAAAATACTAATAAAACACAAGTAATTCAACATATATCATATATTATATTACATAAAACCTAATATATATATCTATATTACATTCAATAATATATATATATATATTATAAAATATATACATATATAACTTATTTTAAAAACTATTTTATATTATTAAAAAAGAAAAAAAATAATTATATATACAATATTTTAGATATACTAAACCACACAAAAACACACAATCTTTGTTTAACATATCCCAAAACCCATAAAATAGATATGGTTCCGTGTTCCGTGTTACTACCCCCCCCCACATAGTATGGTCCCCCAGCCCCCCCCCGGGCCCGAGACCCCGAGCCCCCGGATCCTAGCACCTACGATCCCACCCCCACCCCGACCCCCTGAACTCGCACCCAGAAACCCCGGCACCCCCACCCCCAGGACAAACCAACCCGCAACTAACCACAAACCAACCCTAAACCAACCCTAAACTAACCCTAAACCAACCCTAAACTAACCCCAAATACACCCTAAACCAATCCCTAAACAATAAACCCTAAACCTAAACCAACCCTAAATACACCCTAAACCAAACCCTAAACCGTACACCTCTAAACCTAAACCAACCCTAAACCATCCCTAAATCAACATAAATCAACCTAAATCAACCCTGAACCAACCCTAAACTAACCCTAAATACACCCTAAATATACCCTAAACAAATTCTAAACCAACCCTAAACCACCACAACCCAACCACAGGACCACAACCACAGGGGGGGGGGTACTTGTCTGACCCATGACCATTGGGGGGGGGAGGGGGGGGGGCTGGCAACGCTGTACCATATATATATATATATTAGTTTGTTTTCATATATCGATGATTACGATTCTATTTATAAAATTGGTTATATAGAAATTATAGTTATAATATATATATATATATTATATCAATTATATAATATTGGGTAGCATGTTGCTATTATTTATATATGTATATAATTATTTTTGTTTGTTATATATATATATATATTGGACATTATATATATATATAATTTATTTATTTTATGAATTCATTTTTTGAGTGATATTTTTCATATAAAATTGTTTAATTTAGCATATAATATATAATTATATATATAATGTTAATATATTATATATATGTTATATATATATTTTGGATATATAATTTTGATAATATTATATTATATATATAAAAAACATATATTGTTTTTTCCATAATATGTATATATATATAATATTTTATTTAGATTATTATATATATTAAATAGACTATAATTAAATAAATAATATATATATATATATATATTAATATTATCAATTCATTATATTTATATAATCATATTATATATAATATACATTTAAAATATATAAATCATTTATTTTTTGTTTTGTTATATATATATTATATATTATATATAAAATCAAATATTTAATACATATTAATTTATTATAGAATATACCTATATTATACATATAATAAATAAATTTCTAGAATTCTATATAAATTTCTTCCTAGATTTTCCTCTAATAACTAAAATTTTGTAAATTATACTAAGATTGAACGAAAATTCTACGAGGAATTCATTAAAATTTCACTAGGAAAAATTACAGCAGGGGTTTTATAAAACCATAAAGATTCTATACGGGTTCCATCAAGCTCTACATTTTTTTTGTAAGGATTCGGCAAATATATTACAAAATTTTCTCTAAAGAAAAATAATAACTCCTATATCTATCGTTTAAAGATCATCGGAATAATAAATTAAGGCCTCAAAAAAACATTATTTTTGTAGGCGAAACACAAATCCAAGAAATCAAATATGCAATTCAAGAAACAAACTCCAACACAATCTAATATATATTCAATACATCATTTAAAAAAATCCCAATCATCCAAAATAAATTAATTTAAATCCAAAATAAAATTCAAATAAAATTTCATAAATTCCAACAAATTTAAAAAAAAAACATCAAACCAATTCCGAAATAATCTATTTTTCTGTAAAATCCAATTCAAATTCTATAAAATTCCATAGAATGCCTCTACAAAATATTAACTTTGTATTAAATCCAACCCCAAAATAATTTCATTTGAGATTTCAATAATAACTGGTTTCTCCAGCAAATAATTCTTCAATCTTAAATCCATCAATTTCATTCGGTTTCATTCGGGGTTGTCCTCGTCCTAGTTATTCGATCATTTATTTTAGTCCTAGTTAGTTTGGTCCTAGTTGTGAAATCCTTGGTTCTAATGCAAATGGGAATGCTATCATCTAACAATCCCCCATCACAAGCATCAGGATCAGATAATGCCTGTATGCAGATCCTTTGTCCCAGTTTCCCAAATAAACCCAAATAAACCCACCACAAATATCAACCCAGTTCTCTCAATCTAGGGCGGCGCCAGGCCTTGCGATCCATTCCCAGTGCTGCTCCAGCCCTTTTTGCATGTTGAAACTCAATTATTATGAGAATTAGAGTTAAATCGTCTTCTGGTTAGTACCAGTTTGGTCCTAGTCCAAGTTGAGAGATCCTTGGTGCTAATTCTAGATAGGCAATATAGGAACGGAAGAGCGGCAAGTCCCTGGGACCGGGGGGGGGGGGGGGGGTAGCAATGCATCACATATTAGGAATAGACATGTTTCGTTATTCAGAATTTAGGACACCTAGAGTATAGAAGATATTCAGGCAAGGATTGAATATGAATATAGGATTTTTCGATTTGCGGGATAAGGTCGAGCCAGCAAATGGGCTCTATCTAACATGTTCTGCGCTAGCAGGCTCATTCCTGCGTACGGCCTCGGTAAGAGTACAAGCTACTTAGCGCACTCCCTCCCTTGACGGGCTTTGCAGCCTAAAAGCCCGTGATTCCTTGCTGAGCACTAGCCATGGGACCCCCCCCCCCCCCCCCCGCATTTTTCCTCTGACACTTGCCTCATGTTTTTGGACCCTTTCATTTCAATGGACAAACCCAATCTAAAACCAATGAACACATACGTCGGATGCTCGGACAGTGCAACCCGGATGTGAGTCTGGATTCCAGGGATGTTTCCTGAAGCTACCCAAAAATGGGGAAACATAAAGAAGAGACAAAAACAAAAGTGGATCTCAGGCATCGCCGTTTTCCTTTTTGATTTCAAAGGGCAAGCCCTTGGTTGACAGGGAAATGGAACCACTGTGAGAAGCTTGCTGGTGCTCAGAAGGGAATGAGGGAATGAACCCAGGGATTCCCTTAAAGGAAACCACCAGTTGGATGGTTTATAAGGCTCATTCCATTTTCTAGTGGTTGATTTCCCATTCTTTTCAGCCATCGTTCTTTTCGAAAAACCTACCGGCATCGTGCTTAAAGTTCAGCTTGAAGAATCACTGCAGCACCCCCCAACTTCTCCATCCCAAAAGGTCCAAGCACTCGGCATCTTAGGATTTGCCCAAATCCAGCTATGTGATCTATTGCTGCAACAGAATCTCCACTGAGTACAGCATATCAAATTGTCCATCGTGCATGTATGCGACACCCAATTCAGCTGGAGTATTCTTGAGAGGAAAACAAACACAATTATCAGTAACATTTGGGTTTTCTTCACGCATACAATCGTCAAGCATGTATCACACTAAGCGCTCAGCTGACCCAACAGTCAGCTGGAAGTATCCGCACTTTCACATGGGGCAGGGTTCAGCCAGTACCCTGTAGGCGAAGAGACCAACAAGAAGAACTGACAACGCAGAGCATGGGGGAAACTGACCGCCCACCCAGTGAAGGACTGAAGAAGCACGGTTCAGATCGAATCACAACCCCCGAAATCGATGAGCTCGTTGCGATTTGTCGAGATGATTCCCCAATAAACCGCAAGGGGGGGGGGGGGGGTGGACAAAATTAGGGACATGAACCCCAAATCGACATCTGCCAAATTCGCCCCCGTGATTGATCATTGCCCCAAATCCCACCAAAACGGCTTTGCACGTGAGGGACACCACATCGGCCCTCGGAGCTCGGGGAACCGAGGGCCGGGCTGATCTCCAGCACCAGCAAGGGACCAAAGCTGTGCCCTCCCATGCCCAAAGACCAGACCTCGCTCGCTGAGAAATCCGGCAAATCCGGAGGGCGCCTTTGCTGCCTTTGGCCTCTTCCACGGGTCCGACCGGGCAAACGCGGAAGTATTCTCCTTTGTCAGTCCTGTTCCCAAAGGCAAAAACACGCTGAAACTTGTTGGGGACAGGAGTCTAACCTCCAAATCACTACGGGGTTCCGCCCTTGCGCTCGACGCCTTGGAAACCTCAGGCGGTGCTTTTTGCATGCCCCGGGCCCGCCGCATCGGAGCGGAAGCAATGACTTGTCAAACGGCTCGAAGCTACTAAAAGGTTTTACATGGCAGTGGCTCAAAAAATGTACACAAAATGGCACCTTGGTGCACCCAGCTGCTTAATTCTGAGCCACGCCCACATGGTTTAAACGTTGTGAGTTGAAGATGGTTCGAATGGTTTGGACTCTATGTCAAAGCGTATGTCCAGCTTGCAGCACCGAGGGCTGGGCGGTCTCCTCCAGAGCTGCACCCTTGGCAAAAACATCCAATCACCAAATCCGTCGTGTTCCAACAAATCTGTGGATTTCCATGGTGGGTTGGTTAGTTGGTTGGTTGGTTGGTTGGTTCGTTCGTTGACTCTTCTTTGTCGTGGTTGATTTTGG